GAGCATAGGGATAGCCCAAAAACAAGCAAGGCTTAGATCGAGGTGCAAACTTATCATGACGGGGTAGAACTTTGGCAAAACATAAACATCCAAACACTTTAAGATGCTTAATCACGGGAGGTTTGTGAAACGAGTATTTCAAATGGGGTTCGACCATGTAAAAAAGGTGTTGACGTGCGATTGATGAGGTATGTGGAAGTTAGGACACAATCCCCCGGAATTATAGAGGTACTTTTGATTGAAACATAATAGCTCTAGCAATATTGAGAATATGTCCGTGTTTCCTTTCCACTAGATCATTTTGTTGGGGAGTATAAGGAATAGTAGTTGCATGTACAATTCCTTTGGAAGAAAAGAATTTACGATAAGTCGTTTGCAAAAATTCAATGCCTCTATCGGTTCTAATTCTTTGAATGGAGCAAGAAAATTATGTATGAATCGGGGCATGAAAATCAATGATTAATCGAAGGGTTTGAGATTTTGTTTTCATAAGATATATCCATGTCCCTCGGGAAAAATCATCAACTATAGAGAGGAAATATCTCTCTTGATTGTGAGTAGCTTACTTATAAGGTCCCCAAATATCTATATGAAGAAGTTCAAATGGGGTATGAGTGGCGGAGGTGTCTGCGTGGAAAGGGTAGTCTGGATTGTTTTGCAAGAGGACAAATATCACATATCAAGTTACAAGTTGTAGTAGAAAACTTGAAGTCGGGAAGCATATGAAGTCCGTTCGGAGAAATGTGACCAAACCTTTTATGCCAAAGTACTACATCATCCTTAGTAGATTTGTGATGGACAATAGCTTTATTACGAAACCGGAATGAATGCAAAAATTACAAAAAGAAACATTATCTAGGAGTATGGAGTTAAAAGTATATGGTGAGACATGATATAGACCTTCTCTAAGTTTACCAATCCCCTTTGTCTTCCTAGTCTTGAGGTCCCGAAAGAGACGAAATGAGGGTAAAAAGAAGCTAAACAATGGTTATCGGTAGTGAAACGAGCTACCGATAACGGATTGAATTTAAAATCCGGTAGATAGAGGACATCATGAAGACTCGATTGAGCTAAGGTTACCGAACCTATGTGAGTGACTACTGTTCTACTTGCCATTGGGTAATCGCACGGTGAGGCTAGATGCTAATTTCCTAGGATTCTCCAAGATATCGAATTGACCGATCATGTGAGTGTTAACATCGGTATCTAAAATCCATTCATCGACGGCGAGTGTGCAAATCAACATAACCACAAAAATAGTTACTGCCATGTTTGCAATCGAGTCATCCTTAGGAGCTCCTTTCCCCGAGGCCGTATTTTGGGCTAACATCTCCAAAATCCGGTGATATTGCTGATGAGAAAACACGAGTGGAGTTGTAACATCTTGACTTCTCCCTCCCGATCGGTCATCCGCCATATTCTGCGTTTGAACTACCGGATGAGTAGAATCAAGCCTCATATAATTCACATGGTGTGCATTATATGCACGTTGTCTGTCTCCACTAGTGTTGCCTCTAGGTCTTCTACCTCTCGATCGCTAGTCATCTTGTTATTCAAGCGTGGATATCCATGTAATTTGTAACGGGAATCCTTGTTGTGACCGAGTAATCATAGGTGATGTCTCGATGCCAATTCATCCTATCGGAAGGCTGCTTCATTTGATGGTGAGATTTTGTAGAGTAGAAAGCCGTAGGTACTTCTGCTTGTGTTTGAAGAATCCTCGTTGTGATTCCTCATTGGACACCATTGAGTATGCTTGAGAATGAATAGGTAAGGGATTCATTAATAAAATTTGTGATCTCACGAGTTGAAAATAGTCATTTAATCCCATCAAGAATTGCATCATTTTGTCTTCGTTGTATATACTCTACAAACGGTTGTGAAACCTCACTTTTGCAATTTGGATAAACACAAGTGAGCATAGGAATCAATGAGTCATATTGATCCTATAGATTTCGCAGTTTTGAATAATACACTGCTACACTCTCCGAACCTTGAATTAAAGAGTGAATCGCTTTGTGCGAGCAAATATTTTAGCTCCATGCTCGCTTGTCAAATCTTTCCTTCAAATCTCTCCGGACCTCTTCCGCCTATTGATAATACACCAATCCATTAAACAACTCGTGTGGATACCGAATTCAAAATCCGGGCATGAACCAAGGCATTGCATTTTTTCCACTTGTGAATAATCGAGCGAGTCCGCATCCGGTTTCAAACATTATCCGAGTGACAAATCCATCTTTACTTTTGGCTTCTAAGGAGATCATCATAGCTTTGCTCCATGAGTTGTAATCTTCTTCTCCTCCGAGTAAATGAGAAACAAGAACTAAATTCGGAGTATCCGAAGGATAGAGATATAGAGGATCATTAGTATCTCCGACCGGAGCTCTATGAAAGTTAGCGTTATCAACTCCGATTCGCCATGTGAACTCTTCGAAAAACGGACTAATTAAAAAAAAAACGAGACTAATCACAAGGTTTGTAGAAGAAAAGCTTGATTTGGTTGGTGAATGATGAAGACGATGAGATGCTCGATACCATGTTGAGAGAACGAAAAGGAGAGAGAAACATACGGAAAGTGTGAGTTTGTTATTTTTGAATTTTGTTTGTTACCGTTACAACGATAATAGAGTGTCTATTTATATATACACCGGAGGAAAGGTTCCTCTCGTAGCTCACATGCTTCCTTATTGTTTACACCGCACTACTTTACTATATACACATATTAATACATTACAATTATACTCTTAACAAACTCATCTTAAAAACATAGTGTAGCGTTACTAAAATGTGATTGTTTTTAATGATCTAATTGATATCATGTATTTTTCCAACTTCTCTTATGAGCATTGGTTATATTACTCTTTCATAACTGTTATTATCTTTTGATAGCTTAATCGATTTTTTTTTTTAATCTATGTGAATTGTAAAAAACAATAATGATAATGCTTAATTTAATTTTATATTTGTAATAACATGAGATTTCTTTAAATACACCTACACAATAGTTGTAGCATTCTAAAAAATTCAAAATATTTCACACAAATCAATTACAAAATTACTTGAAATCTTAAACCTCAAATGCTACATGGAGAATACACCTCTTATACCATACTCCATTTTAAGTTTCGATGCTTTACATCGCCATATAATCAAATGCAAAACTAGTTTCGATTCAATTAATTAGTCAAGATCGTTTATTTTGATTTTTCACACTGATTAATAAAATTATTAATTTTTATTATGAATAGGGTCTTTTTCCACCAAGCATCGTGGTGTTATATCCTCTTAGTCGGAAAATAAAAACTTATGATAATGCGTTCTCATTGAAGCATTTTTTTTTTTCACAAATTACACTTCATTTGATGTTTTTTCACTTTCCCCCATTCACGATCTCTTTCCTCAACTATCTTCAAAATCATGATAAAACAAAAATTCATTTTCTATGTCATTATTATAACCCTTAACTCCATCGTCCACTCCTTTTCTTTCTTTTTAACCATCTCTATCATCATAATAAAACAAAAATCTATCTTTCATATTGTTTTCATATCCTTTAATTTTCAATAATATGAAATATAAGATAATGATGAAAAAATTATAGATATTTTGTGTCCTTAATTCATTATCTCTCAATTTAATAGAAACAATATTTTAAGTATTATATATTAATTTGATGGATTTGGTTTAACAGTACGAAACTAAATAATTAATTTTGAAAACAAAGCTAAAAAAAATTTAATTAATTAGTTTTTCAAAACGAGAGAAATTTACTCATCAAAAGATTGATCCTTCTTAGCAGGCAACCTTTGTGATTAAGATCATGAGCTTGTAATTAACTCATCAAAGATCAATTGAACATGGGCTGTGATCAAAATGGAGATTAATTATAGAAGCAGATGAATCTTCAACGAAGCATAAAATATCGAGTAATTAAGCGGTCTCTGCACTTCAGGACATGACATGTAACACGTATGTAACGCATCGTGGTTTGCCTGAGATTACAAGAATATTGTAAATTAATTGAGACAACATATTTTAATCACCACGTTTTGTCATGCTGCCCTAAGCCTGGAAATGACATAAACAAGTCTTTCAGCCATAGATTTTTTATATTAAAATCTATTTTTAATTTTTTATACTGAGACAAAAAACATCATGATTTTGATTTTTCAGATTTATATTAAAATATTTTTTTATAAAATAAATTTTAATTAAGAGTATTTTAAAACCACTTAAATTTTGATCAATAAAATTTTTAAAACATATATAATAAAAAGATAAACAATCTCTACGTGAAAGAGAAAGTATCAATTTTAAGACCCATCGATTCGACACACTGCACGAAATTACACTGAATCCGAACTCGACCGAATCGAACCGGATGAATCTAGACTGAACCAGTTTCTTTATTTGATCCAATAGGGAACAAAAAGGTCCAAACAACAATTGGACAAACCATAGATTTTTAGCTTAATTCACCATTTTTTGTCAAAATATCCTCTCCCTCACGCTTTCCTTCACGTTCTATATATAAGACACCAAATCCCAAACAAACTCTCTCTGTCTGCCCGCCTTTTGAATTCCTTCTCTCTCTCTCTCTTCCCAAAACAGTTTTGCTCTCTGGCAGTTCTCATTTCTCTCTCTCTCTCTCCTTCTCAAAACGAAACAAAACAAAACGAAATCCCACTGCTTACCAATTACCAAACAAACACCTCCTTTACATTTATACACACACGCACACTATCAGAGGAGAGACAGGAATTTAATTCTCATGCTGGTTCAAAATGGAAACCAAATCAACTGCATTGATTTCTTCACTGCTAGTATTAGTTTCCGTTTTGTTTCTGTTTGGTTACTTAAATAACTACTCCTCCTTCTTCTCTGTTAATAATTCTTCTCCTAAGTTTGAATACACAACAATCTCAGTTCCAATCGTTGAGTTACCAACAAAAGCTATAGCAATCACCAGCTCTGTCATCATCATCATCATCATCATCATGATCGAATCCTCACCGTTCATAATTCTGGAGCTCGATCTAACAGCACTACTGTGAATACTGTAAGGAATTCAACTCTCTCTCTATCTGTCTTCTCTTAACTGTGCTTGATTGATTGAATGAGCTTGATGCTTGTGTATGATCTACAGAAGAAGAGGAAGAAGAATAAAAATGTGAAGTTAAGTAAAGAAGAAGAAGAGATGGAACACGAGCTTGCAAGAGCTCGAGCTAAGATTAGAAAGGCAGCTTCTGTGGCGGGAAATCTGTCGCGGATCGTCATCGACGGTGATGGAAACGATGTCATTAATGGAGTTGATGATCTGGTTTACCGTAATGCAAGAGCATTTTATCAGTAAGTCGTTTTAATTACTGTTAGTAGACAGAAATTATTCAAAACCGCCAAAAGAAACAGAGCGTTTTTGTTTTCGGAAAATGAAAAAAGGTAAAAAAAGGAAAGGAGAGCTAAAACATCTTAAAATTTAAACACAGAACGAACCGAACAATAAACCAATTTGGTATTTATCGGTTCAAGCAATGGAGCTGATCGAGAGAGTTTTTATAAATTATTTTACAATAAAATAATATGATAAATTAATTTTAAGTTTAAAGTGGCGCAATATCTAAAATATCTACAGAAAATTTATATGACTGCAAAAAAAATAAATATATATTTTAGGTGAACCAATGGTTGAACCAGTGAACCCAAATCCTTGCTGGTTCACCCTCCATTTCAGTCCTAATAACTATGTATTAATTAATTTATTTTTAATAATAATGAAGGTATTTAATTCAAACTCTTTCATACTAACTAATAATCCATACATAGATCCTGATATAATACAAAGTTAAACCTTCTAATTATATGTAGTCAATAATTTTTAAATTAGAGTCTGTTAGCTGTGTGATATAAAAATATAGAATTATTTTTTATTTAATGATATTGCAAATAAAATAAAAAAAACATACATCTAAATTAACAAAATACATGCTAGAAATCAAATCCAAAAAAGTGTATGATTTACAGAACTGGAACAAAAAATCAATAACAATATGTAATGAATTAGAGCCTTTAACGCTTTTTAAACTACTTTGCTTCTACGAAAACTTTGTTCCTTGTGTGACTGTGCATTAAAAATTAATGGAGAGAATTCTTATAACTGAAGCATGGTGTGTGTGTGCATATGTGTCTATTGTGCACTCAAAATTCACTCATTTCGCTTTTGCATACTTGACTGTTCTTTATGATGTGATGTGTATCATGATAAGTTTCTGTGCTACGTACCCTGCCAAAAGGCAGTTTTGTTTCTCTATTGTAGCGGAGGACAGTTAGGGATGGACACTGCTGCTTTTCATTGTTAGTGAGTTTTGAAAAGGGAAAAATTGCAAAGTGGTCCTTACTTCCTCTTAGGCCTTAGCTGAAATGAATAGATTGCTAGGTGTACGGCAAGCAGTCGCTGCCGAACTGAACTATGACTTCCTGAAGTCGTACTCATTAATTATGATCAACTTGTACAAATTGATTGAGTGAACTTGAGACCACTAAATAGAAGTGATCTGGCTGCTAATGAATAACACTGGTACTCTTTTTTCTTATAATTGTTAAGTAATCACATTGGTACTCTTAATAATTCTTAGATATAGTGAAAATATTCATGTTTTTAAAGAGGAAATAATTCTTAGATATAGAGAAAATAACATTCATGGTTTGTAGTGGATTCACAAACTACTGTGGGTTGAAAAATTTTTACATGATCACAATTTAAGGACAAAGACAATTTAATTACGGGTTCCTCTATTTATATGTAAATGAAGAACTAATTGATTTGATCAAATACATACGGTTTATCTAATAACTAATAATTAATTACTTGAAGTGGTTTTCACAAATACAATCAAATTGACCAAATAATTTTTGTTTTATTAATTTAACACCGTGAAGCATACTAAATGGTTTGGTGGGTGAACCTCAATCCATGATTTTCGATCTTGTATCAACCTGTTTAGGATTTTTTTTTTTTTTTTTTTTGTTATTCTTAGTTTCATCGATCTTATTTTTTTCTTTATCTGACAGTTTATATACCTGTTACCTCAACCAATAATAACTAAAATTAGCGCTATTGTAATTGTCAAGAGATCATGTCAAAGTTGCTGCTTGATGTTTGCGTAAGTACTTAATGTGTAATTAATTGATCTAGCTAGGCTCTTGTTAATGTTAGCTAGCATATAGGTTTTGAGATTCTGGGTTCTTTTAATTGCCTTATCAGGATTGACTATTGTCAATATCAAAGTCATTATCTTAATTACCATCACAAAAGACAACGGAAGGGCATATCTCTTTTAACTCTTCTGGCAAGTCCAGCATATGATACTCGTTAACATACAAGCTCGTATATATAACGTTAAAATTAATGATCATTTGAAACATTGCAGGAGTTATATGGAGATGGAGAAGAGATTCAAGGTCCACGTGTACTCAGAAGGAGAGCTACCAATTGTCCACGACGGCCCATGCAAAGACATATACACAATAGAAGGGAGGTTCATACACGAGATGGAGCATGGAGCCAAGAGGTTTAAAACAAGGAATCCTCGACGAGCCCATGTTTATTTTATGCCTTTCAGCGTCACATGGATGGTCAAGTATCTCTACAAGCCTCTCACCTACGATCACACAGCAATGAAACAATTTGTGGCTGATTATGTAAGAGTGGTATCGAGCAAATACCCCTTTTGGAATAGAACTCAAGGAGCTGATCACTTCATGCTTTCCTGCCATGATTGGGTGAGTAGTACTTAATTCACTTAAAAGCTAGCATTTCATTGCATCTCCAAATTAAAGACTAATATACACATAATATGATCTTAGCAATCGCATTCTCACGACTTGACAGGGGCCCTATGCTTCCCAAGGCAATCCTTTCCTCTACAATACATCAATACGTGTCCTCTGCAATGCCAATAGTTCTGAAGGTTTCAGCCCTCGAAAAGATGTAAGCCTTCCTGAAATCCGCCTCTACGGTGGCGATGTATCACCCAAACTCATTTCCCCTCCTCCAGCCAACAGCCCACGTCTCTACCTTGCATTCTTTGCTGGTGGGCTTCACGGCCCAATCCGTCCCATCCTCCTCGACCACTGGAAAGGCCGTGACGCTGATCTCCAAGTTCACGAGTACCTCCCTAAAGACTTGGACTACTATTCATTTATGCTCCAATCAAAGTTTTGTCTGTGTCCAAGTGGTCATGAAGTGGCTAGCCCGAGGATTGTCGAGGCTATTTATGCTGAATGTGTGCCTGTTATTTTATCGGATCATTATGTGCTTCCATTTAGTGATGTCTTGAGATGGGAGACCTTTTCGATACAAGTGAATGTTTCAGAGATACCGAGATTGAAGGAGGTATTGATGTCAGTTCCAGAAGAGAAATATAGAAGGCTTAAAGAGGGTTTAAGAGGTGTTAGGAAGCATTTTGTGTTGAACCAGCCAGCTAAGAGATTTGACGTGTTCCACATGATTTTACACTCCATTTGGCTCAGAAGATTAAATTTAAGACTTGCCTAGGTACATTAATACATGTTCATCCGAAAAATAGAAAAGATACATTAATTTATAATACACGTTGAGTTTCAATTGACAGCACTGTGATAGAAAAAGAAATGCAATGTTAGTTTTTTGTTTTTTGTTTTTTCCATGACCAAATGATTTTAGTGCTGCACTATTTGAATCCGTGATATATACACTGCTCTTAACCACTACGAGATGTCTTCTATCAGCGAGGGATTTTTCTTGGTTGGGCTAAAACAAAGTTTCAATTTTTACTATCCGTAAATAATTAGCTATAATTATTTTTCAATAGTATCGGACTTGAACTAATTTGATCTAAAAGGAAACCTAATAATTAATCAAAAGTTAACCGTGTTTTGACACTGACTTAACTCAAAAAATAATGTATATAATATTAGTTGATATGAAAACTCACCCCAAAATACTTATCTATATGTATATCCCTTAATTTGTACAGGGAAAGGGCCTTCAAAGGCAGCCTATTAATCCTCTTTATTTCTATCATTTTTTTAAAAAAAGTATTGATATTTACCCTTTAAATTTAAATGTTATAAAAAAATTTTATTTGAGTAACCTTAAAAAAAAGTGTTGGTTCAATTGTTAAATAAATTCGTTTTTCATACATGATTTTGAGTTCAACTAAAAAGGAAGACTGTAAGAAAGAAACTTATAAGGAAACAGAAATCATAAGGACGGATTGATAATAGACTTAATGCTAATCCAAAAATATTAAAATAATAAAAAAAAAAATTGGATGGGCTTCTGGAATATGTATGATGCCTGATGTGTTCATATGGATCCTTAAAATGGACTGATTGTGCTACTTAATTTGAAAGGTGAGCCCGGCTCAATTTTCTCCTTCTATACATTTAAGGGCTCAAGTCCAGCTCATTACACTCTTGAGTTTACGGTGTAGGGCCTATACTGTAGCCTGTGCAGCTCTTTTAATTTTAATTTTTTTTTTTTACAAAAACCATAAGATTGAAATGATTAATTAATTAATTAGCCAATAATTATCCTATCTACTTAAACATATTTAGTGTTTTCTAATCAAAATTTAGTTAATTACAGTTAATCCAATTTAAATTGAACTATAATAAAATTTCAAATTCAAAGCCGTGTTTATTTATATACATATATACATAAAAATGCCCTTCCAACTTTAACATCTCCATTCCTTATTTCAATTAGCATTCCCAATGTTACAATTTTTTTCCTTTTTTTTTTAATTATTATTATTATGTGCACTAAATTGACAAAGGAAACCTCCTTTACAAGGCCCAAGAAATCTGGACTTGAGAAATTGCAAAGAAATTTATTTTATATTTGTACAAACCCTACCAATATGAACTACACAATTTTTACATGATAATAACTTAGTTGATTGCAATGAAGTTATGAGAAAATCGTTCGAGTTGAGATTTGAGCAAGTCTCCAAAAGAGAAACGATTGGTCTGATCATGTGAGCTAATATTTGTTCTCCTCGTCGTATCATCATTCCTCACTTCGAGATCAACTAGGCCCATTTCTTTCTTCATTGACTTGATGAATCCCATATCAACTTCATTCCCTGACACATCTCTTACATAGAAAGCATTCACTGCTTTCTCTCCTTTTGTTGCTATATCTGCTCGGACCACAGCAAGTCCGTTTTCTCGGAGAACCCGAGTTATGTCTGAAAGCAGCCCTACTCTATTTTCGGCGCATAACTTTAGCCTAACACCCTGTGCACAAACAGAAAATCAATATAAATTTAACTGATAGATATTATGGACCACATCGGTGTAATCGCTTTTCATTTTTTCGTGAGGCTCACCTCACAAACTCGGCGCTCGATGGCAGCCTCCAAGCATTTAATTACTCGTTCTTTCTCACTTTCTGTATTGAGCGCATATCCATCGTTGTGTCGAATGAAGTATTCCTGCATCAACAAAAATATTGTGGTTAATTTGTTCAGTGGGAGAAATGGTTGTGGCTTAGGTTATTTTGAACAGTATTAGAATGTTTTTATTGGCACCTACTTGAAATGCTCGGCCATCATGAGAGCCAACTGAAGCATGGAAAATCACATATTGCATGTCAGTGAGTGTGCATACGGTATCGAACAAGAGCCTTGGCCGATCCTTGCACTCGATGCTAACAATTGAGTACCCCTTTTGGACACAATTCTCGATCGAAACTGCCATCTTCATCCCTCCTACGGTGAGGTTCAATCCGGTTCCCATTGGGGACGAGCTTTTAGGTCCATCAAAATCCCGTACTGAAAGCATGAGTTGATGCAACCTTCTCTCTACATTGGTCATGGTGCCTTCCCATCCAAGGAATCCCCCAGTCTTCACTTCTCGATTCGTTATTTGGGGTGGTCCAGAACTAATGCTTGGCACCGTGTTGGCACGGAGCACTGTGGTTAGATGATCCTCGATGGAGGCAAGGCGGTGGGGATCTTCAATTGGGGTGTCAGAGGATTGATCGGAAATATATGCGATGCAAGCTAAGCAAGCATTGTGGCTCCAAGCATGGGCTTCTACGATGTTGCAATGAAGGTCCGCCAAAGCAGCTGATATCTCGGAGAAGAGTCCAGGCCTATCGGTTCCTGACATTTCAATGGCCGTGTGCTCGCTTGGGTGGTCGGCTTCGGAAACATTGTTGGTATATGCTCTTGCTTTAGGGAGGCTTGGGGTACTCTCCCTTGTTGTGCCTATAGCCTGCAAAAAGTTTTTAGATCAACTGGTTCTTCGATAATTACAATTACAATAACGCTAATCGCGCTAGCTTGATGAAAGATACAATTATTTACCTGCTGGATATAGTTAATAACTTTTTGATCTCTAACTTTCTTGCCTTGCTCATCTTGTACATGAAAAACTGCGGGATCAATGCACAAATTAACTAAGTGTTCATCGACAATACTTGACAAAATGTTGTAAACACATAAAGGAAAAAAAAGAAGAAAAGTTACCATCCATGAACCACCCAGCATCAGAGGAAATATAGCCTTTCGAGATGGTGAGATTCAAATCTGTCAGAACTTGCACAACCGCCAGGAGGAGGCCCTGCTTATTTACGCTATCCACCTTCACTACTGTGCAATCTTCCATGCTTTCATTATCAATACAAACTCTACAACTGCAATGCCATGAACAACATATGGTGGCTACATGAGCCTGCTGCTATGGATTATGATAGGTTTGATAAAGAATTCAAGGTTTCTACATTGGAAGATAGATTACTTACGTGGGACCATATATCCTCTCAGGTAGATTGTCAAAATCAGGATCGAAGTACGGCCAACAAACTTTCTTCATTCTGCCGAAAGAGAGATCGAAAATGTAAAAACTAAGACTCCCAGACCATTGTTTGATTTCTCTCTTTTACTAGCCTTTGAAAAAACTTTTTGGTTTAGTAACGCAACAAAAAGCTACCAAATTGCTAAAAATAAACATGGTAACAGAAAATTATAGGTGCTCTTGGCTTAACAACTCATCAACGCTTGAAAACAGATGGTCCAAAAGAATGTACGGTTTTTCCAAAAAATGAAGGCTGTATTGAAAGTAGAAGGGTAGGAATTTTTTACAGCTAACACTACTCGAATCCATTATAACCATCTGGCCGCTGGACACCAATATTCTGCCAGCAGATATATACACACACACAGACACACAGACACGTTGTTGTTTATTTAGCCTAGAGAGACCTCCTCTCTCGCTTGCAATTCTTTATTCTAGTAATGACAATGGGCTATAGTAAATTACTTGAACTAAATTTGCAATGCAAGTTAAATATGGTATATATATCAAGAAGCTTCATTCACAAACACATAACCAGTGAATTTGTCCGTAACTCAACTGGTGTAGATATTTTTCTTCGTTGAAGGTAAAAGAAAAAGGAAAAAAAATAAAAATATTGCACGTTAGCCATAAAATGTAATTATAATAGAAAAAACTGAGAGATTAGAAAGAGGAAGTAAGTATAGTAGCTTACATAAATATTGTCGTGGTATAGTGGCCCTGCTAATTATGAGGCAGCAATGCCCAGAAGAAAGAGGAGATCGAATGAAGAAGATGTGGATCTCTCTCTTAAAGAAGAAAGAATAACAATATTAAGAAGATTAATATAAGAAGAATTGTGCTTTTCTCCAATATATATGGTATCGAGAAGAGAGAGAGAAGTGTCAATAGTGTTACTATTTTGAGGTTTGTGAATGGAGTTTGATTAGCTTAAATAGAATGTTAATACTTGTGGAAGAAATTTATTTGAAGAAAAATCATAGAAAAACGGTACACGTACGAAAGTCAAATAATATTTATCGGCCACGTTTTATTGATTTTTTCCTCTCTAATTTCTGTCTTCATGCCTCACCATCTTACCCACATGCTTCCCTATGTTTTTGGCATCCTTATTGAGTGGATAGTAATCAATTCCATGGTAATTAAAAAAAAAAAAACCAAGTAATTGGTGAAGAAAAATGCATCGCCTCTTTGGACTTGGCCAAACACGTCTTTCAAATACGTGATCAGGAGGTTTTTTAGTCGTAAGATAGCTAGCTAGCTAGGCTAGCTAGGTACTACCCAGTTCACATACGTAAAATTTTGCTTTCAAGATTATTAGCTATTTCCTTCTGGAATCAAAAAGTTTATTACACCATTTAGATTTATGTGGGATCAAAAATATACGATTGATTGGTGTAATTGATCTTAGTATCATAAATAATAATTATGATGAGCTCTTATAATATGTGATTAATTTGGTTCGTATAAATCGGATTTATGTAATAATTTTTTATTTTCATATAGTCGAGTCGGTCGTACCAATTAATATCAAATATTTTGATCCAATGAACATGATTAATATAAAACCTTCATGGGTTTTTTGGTATTTAAATTTTTAAAAAAAATCTTAGATTATGATGAAAAACTAATATAAATATAGTTCAAAGTCATAGGATAAATAAAATTATTAAATTATATAAATCTTTATGTTGTGCAGTTATTTTTATTTTTGTTTTTTATTTTTTTTGCTTCATTTGTTCCCTAACATGTAGTATTTTGTATAATAGAGTGAAATTCGAGAAAAGCAGTACACTAACAAGTTAATGGAAATATACTCCAAAAATGGGACATTGCTATTCACACCAAGAAAGAATTTCTGGCCAACGTAAGAATTGCTTAACACCTTCAATTGCTATACGACTTGTATGGAAATGCTTCCGTGACTATATGAGGCATTGAATTTACCCTTTTTATATACCAAATTCGCTTAACTGCACAAAACTCAGTGCCTAATTTCGGGTTACATCACAAATAATCCAATCAGCTGTGATGTTCCAAAATTTCACGTGTTAGAAAAACTAGTAGGTCGTCACGGTACGTTAGCAAGGAGGTCAAAGATAACGCGGTTCAATCAATCCTATGATTATTGAGAAAGGATGGTCGTGATCTTATCTAGCTGAGTCATGCTGTAATTTCTTCTAATGGAAGCGAACATTACCGTATGGTCTTCTCTTGTTGAACATTTTGGCTGAGATGGAAATTTGGTTTTAATATCAAGAGGTCAATGGCTATATGACTTTTTTTCTGGGTATTTTTTTTAGGTATTCCTAACTCATATTAAAAATAATATTTATCATATTCGAAAGAGAGTAATAAAATTTAATTTTTTTTAATAAATATAATTTTAAAATTTAAATTATGTACGATGATAAAAAATTTATTTTAAGATCAATTTGCTTAATACTAGATCAATAATTTATTAATAAACATATTTGAATTACGTTTATCATAGTTGAAATTTTGAAACACAACTTATCCAAGATAATCCACTCCTATCCAAATCCAATGATGATTAGATCTCAAAATCACTGTTTTTTTAATTTATTATTTTTTCTCACCTAAAACCATGCATCCTCTATTTTGGATATTGGACAAATTAATAAAGGGGCAATGTGGCTTGAAATGTCATGCTAGGGTGGCGACAAGCATTTTATAGGCATTGCCGCTTTATGGGCTACGTATTGGCTGTGGCCACACTATTAGCCAGCTTAGTTCTTTTGTTTTTGTTTTTTATTACTACTATTACTATTAACAAGAAAATTTAAAACTGGGGGAGACGTGGGGTTTTAATCACTATTTATTCACACTCATTAACAAAAAAATCTATAAAAAAGTAGGGTTTGTACTATTCAAATCACAATACTAAATATTCATATGGCACTATTGTAATTTTTTGTGTCCTATTTACTTTTTATTGTTGTAATTTTGCTCCTTTGTTCGTGCATTTTAATGGCATTTTTGTAATTTTAATCTTTGTTCATGCATTTGAGATGGCATTGTTGTGATTTTCAGCCATTTAATATAAAATTTTAACAAATGTTGCATTTTGATCTCTACTTTAAAAAAAAATTGTATTAGTTTTCAATTTTATTTATATCACAATTTGATTCTTGATGTAGAGAGAGATAAAAGATAGAGAAGGCAATGACAAATCTCATTTCGACTATTTTGATTGACATTCTTGATTTCTATTTGCTTACTTTAAAGAGGAGAGTTTGTTTATAATGATCTCAAACTATGAAACGAGTAAAGAAAAAAGATCGATACCCTCAAAATATTCACTAGAATTTTTAAATTTGAATTGGATTTTTTTAATAAGAATACATTTTTATTTTTGATTGATAATTTAAAATAAAAGGTGAAAAAATAAATATTAATTGTTATACGTTGAAGCCTATGTTCTAGAAAAAACACTCGATACAACCATACTTTTCGAATAGAGTTTCTTTTTTATGCTATTTTTATTATTATTTTGAGAACACATATATATATATATCTTTTAAAAATTAATTTTCTCATCAATATTGTAAAAAATATTTATGTAATTTTTTTATGAAATTAATTATTGCTTTATTTTTTTGATGTAATCTTATAAAATAAATAATTAAATTTACACATTTTTTATTTTTTATTAATTAAAACCTTTGTTTTAGATTATTAAAATTTTTTATTTAAGAATCTGTATATAAAGAAAAACAAAGCATGTTGTTTTATGAATGAAATCTATTAAAAAAATAAGAAAGAATTAATTAAGCAAAAAATTTTGATTAAAAATCATAAAGTTAGATGAATTTTTTTTGTCTTTAATTTCTATATATTTTTTGTCTTTAATTTTAATATATTTTACTTGGACCTATAGCATGGTGAGGAACATCAAATTATAATAATTTTATCTATTCTTTCTAATCTGTAGCATCACATGGACAACTAGTTAATTGACATACATGATGTTTTGATGAAAGGATGCAAGTTCTTTAGAAAGACTACATTTTTTCATGGAAAAAATGGACTATTATTTACGTAATGAAGACTTTGCAAAACTTATAGCCAACGAAGATTTCAATACAAGGATAAGTATGAGTTATAATTGTAATTATGCAAAATAATAAGATATAAATTTAACATTTTATAAATCTTAAAACTTCATATTTTTTACATAATTTAAATATATATATATATATATATATATATCTTGATTCATTCATATTTAAAAAAAAAAAAAAATTGGGTTAATGATGACAAAGATCTCTCTATTCTTTCTTTTATCTTTGCCATGTCTTGATTTTCATCTTAAATTGATCCATCTACATTTAGTTTATATCTTAATCTCATCTCTTCGTTAACTTCTATATTGATGATGTTAAAGTTTTTTTTTTTTTCTCTCTCTAATCTCATCCATGTACTCTATTTTTCTATATGAATCTTATTTTTTATACAAAATTTAAATAAATAAACTTTAAAAAATAAAAATAAAAACTAGAAAAAATGTGAAGATAGATTAGGGCTTTATTTCTAAATATTGAAAATAATTAAAAAAAAAACTAAAAAAAAAAAGGTGAAGGTAAAAATAAGTTCTTATCCAAAAAATTATGGGCTTAAATGTGTCCCTATAATAGTAAGTAAATATTTATATTACACTCAAAATTTATGTGTTTACTCTTTCTTTTGTCTTTATCGTGTTCTTCTATTCTTTTTTTTTTTTTCCCTTAAATTCATCCTTGTATGTTTAATTTTTATTTTAATTTCGTTCCCCTGTGAACTTTTTGAATAACGAGTGTATGTTTTTTTTTATCTTAATCTCATTTTTTTACTCCATTTTTCATCTTAATCTTGTTTTTTTTTGTACCAAATTTAAATAAATTAATTTAAAAAAAAACTGAAAAAAGAAAGATGAAAATAGATCCGGTCATTCCCTCTAAATATTGAGAGAGAAAAAAAACACTAAGCATTTTTTTAATCTAAGATATCTTTTATCATGAGCATATAAAGACAAAAAATAATTGAGGGACTTCTTTCGTTTAATTAGGGTAAAATTAAAGTTTTGTGAATAGCCTTTCCAGAGTGAAATTGCCTGTAAGCTTAATTTATGTTGATCATTAATTGTAAGCAAGTTGAACTAAGGCGTATAAAGTTGGCACTGGGACCTCTAGGTTGTTCCTTAATGAATGCAGCCACACACTCGATCATCAATTAGCTGTCGCCCATAAGTCCCAGAATATTCTCCTTCCTTTAACCACCCGCCAACACCGACGGTCCATCTGTTTCTGTTCTCAAACAAAGTTGGCATCTCGTCCAAGAGCCTCAACTTGCAGTTGCTAAGCAGATCGCAGTAGCTGCTTACGATTGTTAGTTTCTCTTCTTTTTCATCGAAACCCATCACTGCGTACCCTCTTCCTCTCTTTAACGATTGCAATCTTCTCCTCTCTAGGGAACACACCAAGAACAACGACAATATTAAGATTTCTTACTTTCTGGCTTTCTGCAGCTGCTTCGTGCTTCAAAAAATATAATAATAAAATTCGTATTTTCTCTATTTAAGAAAGATTTTCTCTGTAAAATTCCAAATTCAAATCACGTCTGTTTTTTTAATTAAATTATAGTAGTAAGAAATGGTCCCAAATTGCTATTATTTGATGCATCATGCATGCGTTCTTCACCCAATCACTTAAAAGTTGATTCGTTCAAAATATTAGCCATGAAATCTGAACCTCACAACTTTGTGCCAAGATTGAACATGTTTTAGCCAGGTACAATTGGGCTGAACTGCACAACTAATCCAGCCCATTAAATTCAAAACCAAGAGATTCCCGCCAAAGTCAACACAACAAACCAGCTGGTACAACCTCTCAAAGCTCTCAGATGAACAAGAGAAGTCGACCAGATAATCTCTGTAAACTTTGTCCCAGAACACAACTCTAGTTCATTATCAATAAGAAAAAAATATTGGAACTCAGAAAAGCGATGCAAGTAAAACAAACCGCCAAAAACCACACAGGCGATCCTAATAGATATTCAGATCCAGGAACGAAGCTACCCAAAATCAAACTGGTTTATCAAGTGATTGGGCCGTGACGTTATAACTTATTTTCAACATGAAAAAAGATGAGAAAAAGGTTTGATGAGATATGAAAGAAGAACCCATAACCAACAAAACTTTTCAAGAGCCTTGCAATTAACTTTTATGAAAAGAAACAAAGTATGGCATTTGCAACTGTTAGTCCCATTGGACTCACTTCCTAGCACTGCCCGCTCATCCCTCTTCCACGTCAACTGTATTATTCACTTTTCTTTTCTTTTTGCAGTGTTCCAACAGTTCCACCAGTTAAAAATGCCAAAGAAATAACCCAGAGAAGAGAACATCCCTTTATATTGAGATGTCACCAGGCTGTGTAAGGCGAACAAATGCCAACATTTGACATTATCAAACCTGTAATTGCAAAATTTATGTATGGTTAAACCATGGACCAACTGCTCCATTCACGTGTCCATTGCTGTGGATCCCAACACCATTGGGAATCATTGACGGGGGCAAACCAACTGCCATTGGAGGTGGAGCAGCAGGATACAACCCATGATTGTGGGGTAAGGTGTGGGGGCTCACAAGAGGACTGGCGGCAGGACTCCCCTTGCGCTGTTGAAGGGCATGAATCTGTCTGAGACCTTCCTCATGAATACGTGATATTGTCTCCAACTCCTGCATTGATAGAGCTTCCAATCCAGCTCCATAAAGAGGTGCATGTCGGGTCATTTCTTCTTGAAGAGAAGCCTCGAGGGTGTGGATATATTGCTGAAAAAGAAAGGGTGAGTATTGATCTAACACTCCTGCTTCTAATTCACAGGTGGTAGAAAAATAACAAGTGTAGCATTTAAAGCTAATGCGTGCTTGTAAATGATTAATTCATACACTATAGATAAGAGCTTATATCATTCTAAGCTGATGCTGCATGAAGCAGAAACAGGTTCAATTGCGAACAAAAAGAAAAAAAAAACAGTGTGCCGCTTGATAAGGTTATGTTGCAGCCCTTCTATCGTGGTCAACAAATCAAGCACTAGCAAAGACCATCCACCAAAAGAGATCCCATGTTTAATCAAGTTTACCCAAATTGTTCAAGGAAAAAAGAGTTATCACCTAAAACGCACACATTGCATGGGGATTTCAAAAGGCAGATTAAGACAAGCCTGTTGGAAAAATTCAAGGCAATGGTTTTGATTCGCAAAGACCATAATGGAATCACAAGCTTGATCCAAGTATCATGACTAAGACTGTGATGCAAAGACAATAATGGAATCACAAGCTTGATCCAATTTTTGATATGAATGCATGATTAGACAAGACTGCGATGATAAAATACTCAGGAGAGGCATAAACTATGCAAAAGCAAAAACCTGGCACGCCTGCAATTTTGATTCCATCCCATCAATATATGCTTCACACCTAGCAACCTGCTCTTCCTTTTCCCTCTTCTCTCCTTCAGTTTGCCCAACTGTTTGTGTCAATCTCCGAACCTCGTCCTCCAATGACTGACGGATTTCCTCCCTAGTCACGTTCTCAGTCGCATGCCGTTTCAGTTCTTCATCAAACCTTTTTCGTGCAGCTTCAGCATTCTTCAGCCTTTCAGCGAGAGCATTTTTCTCTTTTACTACTCTCTGCATGTTCATAAATAAAATGCAGCACAACAGCAGTCAGCATTAAAGGGAGAAGAATATAATATCTGCATACAGCTAAAACCATTTCCAGAGTTGCAGATTTTATGTTGCAACCCTAACTAAAAATAATATTCTATATAACATAATTTCATCCACCTAGCTCGAATACAAAGAAGAAAATTCTACAGGAATACATCAACCATATGCATCCACGGTGTTAATCACAACTATCAACCAACTCTCTATTTCCAAGCATTCTTCCATAAGAAAGCAATATGATCAGATGTAACACAGCTTGAAAAAAAAAAAAAAAACATCTTTGAGAGTGTAGGAGGAGAAGTATACAACAAAAGGTGCTTGAAATTTCAAAGGGAAATCAATTCCAGTACATCATGGAAAGTGGCGAAAGGAGGGGAAGGAAATTTTTAACCACCACTCCCCTCCATCCTCTTAAAAGTCTCCCCTTAGACTGGGGTGTAATGGAAGTGAGGTACGAGTTACTAAGTTCATAACTTTCGAGCCAAAGTTTCAACTGTATCCTTCTAATTAACTTAGGAAACTATCCCCTAAGGACATACAAGTAACTTGATAATAATTACCTTTCCCTCCCATTCTCTAACCAAACAAAGAAAAATCCTTTCACTTGCATTTCCCTAGTGATGAATGAAACAAGGAAAGAGCATTCTCTTTCCTTTCCTTTCCATAATCCCCTCCCTTCCCATTCTCCCTAGAATTCCCAACCAGCAAGCCAAAAACAACGTAGGCCCTTTTCTAATCGGGGATAAAAGCTGCGGATCATTTGATTGGAATGAAATTTGAGGAGTGGCTACCTACTGGAGCTTCGATCAGACAGCTAAGCTAGTATTTCACCCAGATGTAACAAACGAGTCATAATGGATCGATGTAGTAAAAACAAGGAGAGCATTCAAAAAGGAAAACAGTAACTTATTGTTCCTACCTTCAATTCATCCCGTTTTCGGGACTTCAATTGGGAGAGCTGTGTCTCAGCATCATGAAGACGGTCTTGAAGAACTTTTTCTCAACCGTGAGCTTGGTAATTTCATCATCTCTCTCAGAACGCAGCCATTCGAGCTGACTCTCAACTTCTTGTATTTGTTCAGAAAGTTCCTTCTTTTCCCGAGATAGTCGATCCATCTCGGCCTTCATTTCAGACTGTCATTTCAATAGTGTTATTAACATTAATAAACCCCCATATAAAATTTCCTACATGTTTATTAAATGAACTATATCAGGTACCTTTAGCCTATTGTTAGTAGCCTCAGAGTCACTCAATTTTTGAGATAGATTTGCCTTCTCCCGAGCCATACTGGAATTTTCAGCTTTCCTCTCCTCACGAATACGAATGATTTCATCTTCACTAGCACATAGCTGGTGCCAAAGTGCTGCCCGATCAACATTTGCAAGTTCAGCAATCTCTCGCATCATGCTCAGAACAGGTTTAACAATTTCTTGCTCCTCGCAAACTAAAATAGCCAATATATCCAAATCTAAATCTACATCACGGTTATTATCTGTAGTACTGGTGGCACGATCAACAAGTCTCTTCAGCATTCTTCCTCTATAGGTCTCATTGGCATACCATTTAAATAGTATCGTGTATAGCATCTTAACAAATCCCATCACACAAAGGTCTCTAGAAAGGGCCAGTGTCTCAGCAAGACCAAGAACAACAGTGAAATCATCCCGTTGGACTCGTAGCTGTTCACTGGCTTCTCCCTCTATTATAGCATCTGCATGCTGAAAATTTTCAGCAACAAATCTGGCATTAAAATTCAATCTCTGAGCAAGGCGCCTTTCCAAAACCATTGCTACAGCTTGGGCCATAATTGCTCCTCGAGCTACAGCCCTCTCGAATGTTTGAGAAGCCTCAACGGCAAGGCAAGGTATGGATAACATCTCAATCAGGATATAAATGTCAGAAAAATGTCGGCTAGAATGGAATGTTTGCTCGTCCACCACATGCAACCTTTCAGCAGCCGATGCGTTTTCTCCAAACAAGAAAAAGCCACAAGGCAATGTTGTGCAGCTGTCACCAAGGTCATCATCACAATCAATATCTCTTAGTATGGTTTCAGCAACATCTCCCCAACTATTTACAGTTTTGCTCAAAAAATCCAGGACAAAAGGAGACACATCAGCCCCCAAATTTTTTAGCCTCGTGCGAACAGACCTGACCTACAAAAGAAAACAGAACAGGTTAAATAATCGTTAAAGAGATCATGTCAGAAAACAGAATAAGATATTCTGAGAAAGAAATGCATACTGCTTCAGGAAGATGTTGGCACTGGGATGCGGCCTTGAATATAAAATCTATGGTAGCAGCAAGAGGTTCATCATTTGAGTCAGCCAAAAGCTCAAAAGACTGAATTAGAACACGCTCCCACACATCACTGCCACACTCCAGTTGACTAAGAGCGCCAAAAACCTAAGAATGACCATCAAAATCACACAATGAAATATCTGGCAATAGACTTAAAGAAGAATAGTATGTGCAGTTGGTCAAAAACAAGAGGGAATCTTTCAAAAACTGTCCTATTCTATTCAATAGTTATCTTACAGGTATCCGCAGTGCAGGTTCTGCATCAGGCTTTTGAAGTCTTTCAAGAAGTGCATAAGCCGCCAATGAATGCTCTGCATGCTCAACCAATTTGGGTACCAGAGAAACCAGGTCTGGCTGCAGATGCTTAGGAGCTTTATCCAATACAAGAGCTATCTTTTGTGCAGACTGAGGTCTTCTTCTTGGCTCTGGGCAACCTTGTGGAACAGCTCCATCTAGGGCTCTCAGTGAGTTAACAATCAGTCCCAAGAGCTCCTCAGATTGTTCCGGCCACTTGGTCTGAAAGTTCAACTTCTCCGAGTAATTAATATAACCCAAAACATTAATCAGGAGAACTTACCAATTATGCAGTAGAAACCCATACCTTAGAGTGAAGAGAAGCATTTTCTGAAGCACCTCCCGCCGTTGTTACTGGTGGATAAATAGGCTGTCCTGGAAAAGCTTGTCCAGGCATATCAGTCCCGTTGATGTCAGAGCTCTGTACAGCAGATGCTCTTGTAGAATAATCAACACCAGAATCCAATCTTTCATGGACAGGAAATTGAGCAGATTCTGTTGCTCCACTTTCCCTGTCAGATTCCAATGGGCTGGCAGCACCACTGCCATCAAGAGAAGGCTTTGAGCGTGCATCGGAGGAATCATCATTTGAACTTCCTTCCGAAGGTTGGCAACATTCAACCATTATATCCAAAAGTAAATCTATAATTGCCTGCTGCAAAACTTTAACTCCCATCAACAAATTCATCAAGCTGGGGGAAGATTCATCAGCCTTTGTGGCCTTCTTTCCATCATTGCTACCAGAAAGCTTGGTTGGAAGAAGCAGCCTCTTTACTTTAGCAGGGTCATCAAGATAAACACGCAGTCCAGTCAGAAAACCAGCAATTGCACCGGCATCCATTAGAAGCTTTTCTCTTAAGGTAACCTGTGGCTGCGAAGGATTATCTCCGTATGTGAGGTGAAACCCAGCTCTGGAAAGAAGGTTTCTAAAGATATCTTCTTCATCTCCACTAATTCCTTCACTATCTTCAGAATCAATGAGTTCATCAGGATCAGTTGTTAAAGCATCCTGATCATCCTCAGATGCCAAAACCTAAGGGAAGGCAGAACAACATAAACATCCAGCCAACCATCATATAAAAAAGATGACAGAACAAAATAAAAATGTTGCTTCTAATATCCAACAAATTCGTACAAGAGTATTGGTTATTGAAAATAGGAAGATCCAGAGAAAAAAGAAGTCTTTAGAACACATAAATGCATGCCCGAAAGGTACCCGAAAAAAAAATCAGAACCTTTGAACTGATACACTTAAGTCATCATTTTTTCATCACTATTCTTGCATGCATATTCCTGATGTGTATCCTGGTGCATATAAAATACAATTACCAATATGTTGGATGGGGCTGGTGAAGTTTAGGGAATGGAGGACAACTACCCCCATTATGTAGTCCAAGGCCTAGCGGGCCTCTCGATGAAACAAAACAAATGATTATTCTTACAATTCTGAGATACAAGAACTTAGAAGACTGGAGAATAAAGTTCTCTACATTAGCCAATGATGTAGAAGGTTAAAAATCATGTAAGAACATGAAGCCGACATATAGGTTAAGAATCATGTAAGAACATGGGAGCCGACATATGAACCAACTGGTATGTCGCCATACAAGAATCTCAATGCACAAGAATAGCAGACAATGATCAAAGAAGAAGGACCATAATTCTAACCTCCAAATCTGAAAACTCGAACCACGGGCAGCAATCTAATATTTCACAGACAAAAACAACAGTGTCACGTACAAGAAACCCTGCATCTGTTTCCAACATATCTGACACCTTCATGAATTGCAGGACAGAATTATTCCATGTCTTTGTACAAATAGATGACTCCTTCCACACAGTCTTGGCTGGATTTTTTTGATTCACGACAGCCATCCTGTATCTGACCCAAAAGTTTTTATCTGGATCACTACCAACTGACTGATCACTCTCTAAATATATGCATATGGTATCAAAGGACTCATACACACCTGCATTGGGAAAAACACAGACCATCAGTTGAATAAAGAAAGAGGACAACCACAACCAGAATTTCAACTGATAGAGGACCAGAGATAACTACCCACCAATCCGAAGCTCACAACCACCAGCTTGGAAGAACTTGCTAAATATTTTTCGAGTTTCCATTATTTCTTTGAAGGACAAGAAGTTCTCCACCTTCCATGTAAATGAACTTCGTTTCCCAATCTTATCAATCTGGGAAGCACCATAGGTTGACTCGGTATCCTGATCAGTAAAATCTTGCATTATGGATGTTTCTTTCAAAATGAGAACCTCTGCAGAGAATACAACGGTATCTTGAACAAGAAACCCAGAATCCTGATCAAACAGGCTTGTAAGTGTCACAAATTCACGCCAGCCCCAATCCTTTGCAGCTTTGGAATAGCGATTTTGAGATTCCTTTGTTACAGACTTCTCCTCCATCCTCTGGTTGACAACTGACAATCGATGGCTCACAAAACAACTCCAGTCGCTAGAAGTACTTCGCGAATCTGTTACTTCAAGAAACACTGAAAGGTGGCATGGTGGTTGAGACTGCCCTGATACCACCAAGCATACAGGAAATTTTCATCAATTCATTCCACTAAAAAACTGTCAGTTTGGCATACATATTACCTTGAATCCATAATGCATGAGAGTAAAGAGGAGGCTATAAATGTCAGTTTGGTTTAAATATCTAGCAATTGTACAATTAGCTTAAATACATAATGCATGCAATTAAGGAAAGCCTTCTCTGTCCTAGTACAGGCTAAGAACCAAAAATTTAAGTAACTAGCAATATTATAAGCAATAAGCAACAATGCATGATGTTTGGCAACCCAAAACCCCTTAATCCAGTTATGTGAGTTCATCACTAATATAAAAAAATCCTACTAATCTACTTCAAATAAGTCCAGCATAACAGACCATTATCAAAGATAAGAAATGAACTTCATATGTCTACACAAGTAGGAACCACTACTGCTCAACTCTCCATATCAGGACATGCTGCATTTGTCCTAAAATTATCAATTAGCGCAGGATTTTAATGATAAAGTCAAGGCATACTGCAAGACCATAAGATACGAATATATGCGTAACAGTAAGTTCATAACCAAATATTATTAATGAAAAATCATGTGTACCTCGAGGATAAACAATGAGTCGGCAATCCCGGTTCCCAATCTGAAACCTCCTGCTCTTGATGCAAAGACCAGTAATCTTCCTCTTCTTTAAAAGATCCTTCAACCTCGTAAAATTCTCAATCCTCCAAGTGAATTTCCCCATATGCCCATCAGACTTCCTCGCTCCACTCCCAATCCTCCCTCCAATTGACCCCCCATTCTTTGAAAAGCTACTGAACTCCTTAATCACATGAAATGAAGTACTAAACACCGCAGTATCATCAACCAAAAACCCTGACTCAGCCCCAATAAAATCAGCCATCTTCATATAATCATTCCATCCCAAACTTGTATTATCCCCACTCTTATTATCTGCTGCAAACCGTCCATACGAATCCCTATGCACATGATTACTCCCCCCAGCCTTCTGATTCAAGACTGACATTCTAAACAAACACCAACAACTCCTATCTGAAACAACTGTCTTCTCCGTATCCTTACTCTCCAAACACATAGACAAATAATCCGTACCATTAACCGAACTCTGATAAACACTAATCCTCAAATTACATTCCCCAGCCGGAAACACCGGACTCATTATCTTCTGTGTCTTAATCATTTCCTTAAACAAACTAAAATTATGCACTTTCCATGTAAATTTCCCACTTGACACATCCGATACCGGTCCCACAACTACCGAATTGGACGAAATCGATAACGAAACCCCTGATTGCACCTCATTATTACTACTGTTACTACTGTTATCGCGCATGAAACTAAAAGATTCATTTAAAATCAAAATATCGGCGGTGATTAAGACGCAATCATTATTAAACAAATAACCTAATTTGGAATCGAAAACGGTAGAAGCCGGGGTAAAATCACACCAACCGTGTGATTTTTTCTTACTGGAAAACCGATGCCATGAATCACGGTGTATAGTTTTGGAATCATCAAGTGGATTAACAATTGATAAACGGTAGCTAGCAAAACAATCCCATTTTGACGATGATGTGCCGCGCGGGTCCATGATTTGAAGATAGATTGAGATGTACCCAGGCAAAGCTTGAGAGTCACCTTTAGGGTAAATTAATAAACGGCAATCGAAACCGCCTACCTCAAAATATTTACTCCATAATGCCCTAGCTTTGACACGTGGAAAATTAAGTACCGTCCATTTGCAGATTGCGGAATACTCCCCTCGCCGATCGATTGTAACGCTTTCTGCTGCCGCTCCGTTCGTTCCGTCTCGCGTAGTCCCCACGGTGATATCGTCGATTGTTGTGGTGGTTGATGTTGTCGTTGATGCTGTTGTTATTGTCGATGATGAGGTTGCCAGAGATGATTGGTCGGAGGGAGAAGGTGAAGGGGCGGATGATGAGGATGAGGAGCAGGTAGACGATGTGGCTGCCGCTTCCATTGAAGTGGCGGTCGTGGTGGTACTGGTGGTGTTGCTGCTGTTGTTGTGTTTCATTGTCCGTTAGGGGTTTTGGTGTTTGGTGCTATTTATTTATATTTGTTAATTTTCTCTCTCTAGAGTTTTCATCAAAAATATTTTAGAGAGAGAAAGATTGAGAAAGAGAGGGAGGATGTGTGGGCGTGAGGGTAAGAGCAGAGGTTTGGGACAAAGGGCGGCTCATTGTAGTTAACCTGCGCATTTTCAATATTTTCTCGTGTTTTTCCATTTTTGGGTTTCATGGGGTCAGGATTCGGTGTGGTTGTATGTAAGCTTTGTTGTGTGAGATTGAGGAAAACTTAAAAGTGGGCTCTACGTTATGGGGCCTAGTTATGATGCACATACGTGGGAGTAAGAACACGTACGCCAGAAATGCAGCTACCTTTGTACAAAATATGTTTTTTTAAGTGCTTTGATACGATTTACAGGTATTTTGTTTTTTATATTTTTGTTCTCATTTTTTTTTAGAAACGGAAATAAAAAAATATTTTTTTTGAATTTTTTATTTACACAATAAGACCAACAGCCACTATTTCAATTTTTCAAAACTACCGTATTTGATTTTGAAAAATCTTAACAATTGATCGTTAGCTTTTTTATGTTTTGTAAAAATAAAAAACAAGTAAGTTTTTTGAAAGAAAAACAAAAGATAAAAAACGAAAATAATACCAAATCACTTTTGAAAAATCTATGAAATCCATTAATGGAACTCATTAATCGTCTTGAAAGAATATTCTGACAAAAATTTCTATATATATATATTTATTTATTTATTTATTTTTTTTTTTGCTGTGCCTGATTATAAATTAAAGGCAGTTTGATTGGAGAATTATGCGTGTGATTTTATTGAAATTAAAAAGGTTTAGAATTTTCTAATGGAGGTTTTACTTCTGAGGAACAAAAAAGGGATGATGGGGTCCATTAAAAGAAGGATCCAGATATTCTATGTTGTTGTTTTTTCAAACGGGCCACGTCAGGGGTTAGCTTAACCATCAGCATGACCATCCATGGGTGATATGATTCTCCTGTGTGTGTGCTTTAACGGATTGACTCAAAATTATGACGATTCAGTTTTTTATTTAGCATCTGCTGACTGGAGGGAGGCTGACCTAAGCTAAGGTTGCAGGTTTATTAATCGTCTTGTTACGGCGCAGACAAACGCACGTCTTTTTATGGGCCGTTGGGATGAGAATGGAAAAACCCAATTGACAGAAGGGCTTGTTCGTGTTTGGGTCTTTTCTGTTTCACTAAATGCTTCGAGTTCGTAGAGAAATGAACGTTCGCACGAGAAATGGAAATTTAGTCTTTTCGCTTTCTTAGCTATCCGATAGGAGCGCTGGTTAAAGTTCAATAACAAATTGAGACCTCTTCTTAGCTCTTAAAGAATCCTTTCACAATTTCTGACATTGATGAAACAATCAAAGAATTCAGTTTCGTCCATTTGGTGCAAGTGCATATGGTGTTGTAGTAATGTAAGTCCCAAGGAGTATTGATGTTTATGCAATTTTTTTTTTTAATGATTAGATAGTATTTTTATATTAACTTTGGACACTGATTTTTTTATATATAAAAAAAATTGATTGAAAGGTATGATAGAAGTTTATAGTGTTGGGTTGGGTCCCTTTTCATATAGGGTTTAAAACTCATGTGAATAGTTAATAAAAAGTAAAATAAGAAGTAAGAAAAAATAGAAAAGGAAAATAATTTTCCTAAACTTTTTTTTTAAAAAAAAATTTCTTTTATAGTTTAAGCAATAGATGGCAAAAGAATAGAAAAAAGAGAGTTTTGGCCGATGGAGATAAAGAAGAAAATAATATTTGTGTTTTCCTTATCTTGATCGATCGGTGATTTTAAATTTACTCAAGACAAAATTTTAATATATTGTTATCGACGATAAGTTTTTTAACTTGAACGAGTGTAATCATTGAGAAGATCTTATTTTTGAATATTTTCTAAAAACTTGTTTAATGAGATCTAGTTTTTTCCTTCGTTGTTGTTGTCGTTGTTGTTGTTGTTGTTGAAATCCATCTTTGAGATGATAATTTTGCTGTTTTTATGTGTATCATGTAGTTGAATTAAAAAAAGAACCATGTATCTTATTATTTGATATAGTGGAAGAGTTTGAGTAAATTACAATGTTGTGGTTTTTTTTTCACATTTTTTTCCCATAAAAATTCATATATCAATTGTGGTTATATGTTTATTTAATTTTGCATTAATTATTGTTGATTAGTTTATCTTAATTTTAATTTTATAAAGAGGGAAAATGATTTAGAACTTTTGGTTTGTGATTTTGGTTTACAAATTTATCTTTTTTAAGAGAGTGGTATAAAAACTTTCGAGTTGTGTAGGTTGGTTTTTTTTTTTTTTTTTTGCACAATTAAAATAGGAAAAAAATCAAACATGATAAAGCTCACTTTCTCCAATTATTTTCTATAAAAAACAATGACGGATGATCGCTTTTATTATAATGATTTGGCTTTACCGTTTAAGTGTAAAAGAAGGAAACCTACTAATATGAAGAAACTAAAATAGAAATCGATGAACATAAAAGCTATAATAGTTGCTTGAAAATAGGTATTTTCCAAGTCCATCAATCATATTTTTCAATAACATGATTGCTACAAAGTTTGGAAGTTTCTAGAAGTATCATTTGTTAAGGAAAGCGCACAAAACAAGGTTTTTAAAAATAAAGACTTGGTAAACTCGAAGTACAAAACTAGTGAAGATGTTTTAGTATACATAAATGACTTTAAGGGTTCTTGAATCAGTTGTCATTAATGAATTTTAAGTTAGTCGATGAGATATAAGCGCTAATTCAATTGAGTTCGTTGTTGAATAGTTATGAGACTTTAATATTATCACTTAATAACTCTGCTTTAAAAGAAATCTTAATTTGAAGACAATAAAAGATAGTATTTTTAATGAATAAAAACGAGCAAAGTGGTCGAAGCACTTCAAAGTTTCATGTACTCGTTACATAAAACTAAATAAAAAGTCGAGTATATTTTCTCATGTTAAGTAGAATAAATAATCCGAGTAATTGAAAAAGAAAAATAAAAATTTAGAAAGAGATCTCAATCAATGGATAGAATAAATTTCTATAATTATAACGGACCTATACATATCTAAAGGAATTGTGAAAACTATAAAAGAGTTAAAAAGCGTAAAGTTGAAGACAAGAATAAAAAAAAAAACTATACAATAATAATCATTACTACAATTATTTCATCATTGTTTGTTATGATGGTTATATAAATCTTACTTGTCATGGTACCACTTAGATTGCAGATTCATCAATTTTTTACGATGTGAATCCCAACATAATTTCTTTACATCCTACTATGGTAGAGACTCTAGTCAATTTAGGATGAGAAATCAAGTGGTGACTATTGTTGTGGGCATTATGAATACTTAGTTAGAAACCAATTTTGAAAGCAAGTTACTATTTAAAAATGCTAGGTATATACCCGATATACATCGATGCTTTATCTTTACAAGTACATTTGATGAAAAAGGCCATCACAATTTCTTTAAAAATGGTAACTAAAATCTCTCTAAAGGTTCTTTGATTATTGTTAAAGGCAAATAAATAGGTCTCTACATATCACAAGCTAAGGTGATTAAAGGAGGGGTGAATGTAATTGAAAATATCTTCATCGATTTATAGCATAAATGGCTTAAGTGAGAAAGGTCTTGGTATCCTCTTCAAGAAGAACTTCCTTCCTTTGAAATGTATGAACTTGAAAACTTGCACTAATTATATAGCTAATAAACAATACGAGTTGCACTTCATAGATCACCTCCATATAAAAGATCTAATATTCTTGGATTTAATTCATACTAAGATTCATTTTATTACTAACAAGTTTCTAAGAGGTGTTTTGTACTTTATTAATTTTATCAATGATTGTTTCAATAAAATATAAGCCACTTCGTTGAAATTCAAACATTTAATGTTTGATATCATTAAAGATTTTTATACCATATTTGAAAGAAAAATTAGCAAAAAAAACTTAAATATATTCAAGCAAACAATGGTGGTGAATATAGGAGTTTATTTGAAAAGTATTACGAGAGAATACGACATTAAGTTTAATTAGACAATTCGAAGACTCAACAGTGAGAATAGAGTGACAAAAAGAATAAACAAAACTATTGTTGAAATAATCATGTATATGCTTGCTCTTATGCAAAGTTGTTAAGCCTTTTGGAGTGAGAAAATAAAGAATGCGGTTTCTATGATCAACCTTTCTCCATAAGTTCTTCTTGACTTTGATGTGCCACAAAGAGTATGGAAGGAGAAAAATATTTCATATGCATATTTAAGAGTGTTTGGTTGCATGACATTTATACTGATTCTAGAGATGAAAGGTCTAAGCTTGATAATAAGAAAAAAAAATAGTGTATTTTCTTAGGTTATGTAGGTGATGAGTTTGGCTATAGGTTGTGGGATCTAAAAGAGAAGAAAATTATCAAAAGTAAAAATGTCGTTTTTTTTAAAGATCAAACTATTAAAATTTTAATTTAAACACAAGAAAAAAGTAGAGTCATTTGGTTATACTCCTTATAGTTTAGATGCAAGACCTACTCCATAATTATCTTTGATATCTTTTAATCACATGAGAGATTTGAATAAAGATGATGGCAATGGTTTGCCCTTCGAGCTATTAGTTGATGATTCCAAACAAGTTAATGATGATGATGACATTGTTACTCCTAAGGTTGTTCGAAAAACATATCATGAGACATAATTGAGGAGGTCCACTAGACTTTATCAAGCTTTCACTGAATATTTTCCTCAAGAATTTGTGTTAGTTACCGATAGAGAAGAGTTAGAATTCTTTAATGAATTTATGTCATATGAAAAGAAAAAAGAATGGTTGAAAATAGTATAAGATGAGATGAACTTCTTATACAATAACCATATTTTCAAGTCGAGTAAAGCTTTCTAAATACAAGAGAGCACTCGGGAACAAGGTGTTTAGATTAAAAATTAAAAAAAAAATTGTTCATAG